AGAGAGAGAGAAGAAGAAGAAGAAGAAGAAGAAGAAGAAGAAGAAGAAGAAGAAGAAGAAGAAGAAGAAGAAGAAGAAGAAGAAGAAGAAGAAGAAGGAGGGAGGGAGGGAGAGAGGGAGGGAGGTGAAGAGTGAACCCTGGGCTTTGGGCATGTTAGCAAGCATGGTACCATAGAGTTATATATATCAGCCTCTCTGATTTTTCAGTTTGAGACAGGTCTTTCTATGGAGACCAGACATCCTTGAGTTTGTGGTCCTCCTGCCGGTGCCTCCCCACTGTTGGGATTACAACCATGTCCAGCAGTGGTGGGTGCATTAAATGCATTGTTGGGGCTGGGAATACTGTTCAGTGCTGGAGTTCTTGTCTACCATGCAGGAGGCTCTAGCTTCAATTCCCCACACTGAAAAACAAACAAAAATTTAAGAACTACTAAATTATTTGCCAGACCTAGTGGTACATACCTATAATCCCATGCCATAAGCCCTCTCCCATACGCATACACACAATGAATTTTCAACATTAAAAGTACCTGTAAATATTACAGGCTATCCTCCAGAGCTGCTTGTGTGTACTTAAGTTACAGAGAATTCCCCAAGATGAGAGTTAGTTAACCTGACTGACAAATGTGAATTGAGAATGTGTTCCTGGCAGTCTCCTGTGTTGGGAGAAAAGATGGCAGGTCAAAAGTATTTTCCTTTCATCTTCAGAATTTGTTCTTCATTTTTAAAAATTCTTAGTTTTTGTGTATGGGTTTTTTCTGCATCTATGTCTGTATATCACATGTGTGCCTGCTACCCACAAAGGCCAGAAAAGGGAGTCAGGTGATCCTTGGACTACAGTTATGAATGTCTGTGAGCTGCCAGGTGGGTGCTGGAAATCGAACCTGTTCCTCTAGCCTTAACCACTACGCCATCTCTCCAGAACCTGGGGTGTTTTGTTGGTTGATTGGTGTGTGTGTGTGTGTGTGTGTGTGTGTGTGTGTGTGTGTGTGTGTGTGTGTGTGTGTTGTTTGTTGTTTTTAATAGGTTTCATTGTCCAAATTGGCTTGGAAAGACGGGCCTCCTCCCTTCGCTTCCTGATTTTTAGATTACAGGCATGCACATGCCTTGTTATTTTCAGTTTTATTTTTCATTTTTCTAACAAAATTTTTCCCCTTGTATTTTTGTTTTCAGATTTTTTTTTTAAGTAACAAAACTTGTTTTTACACTTTTTGTCTTACTATTTATTTATTGATAGACAGGGACTCTTACAGCCCAGGCTGGCCTCAGACTCAGGATCCCAAGTGCTAGGATTGCGGGCATGTGCCACAATGTGCGGTTGCTTTTTTCCTTTCAGTAAACATTTTGATGACTTTCAGTTATCTCCAACATAGCTCAGCTCTAGAGTGCTTGCCTAGCATTGGAAACAAACACCCTGCCCCTCACCCCAAAAGCTATGTGTGGGGACCACAGATTGCCCAAGGCATTTGAACAGGAGATTTTGGGTGGTGGTGGTAGTTTTTGCTATTGCTGTTTGGTTTTGGTTTTGGTTTTTTTTCTTTTTTTCTTTTTTTTCTTTCTTTGGTTTTTCGAGACAGGGTTTCTCTGTGTAGCTTTGCACCTTTCCTGGAACTCACTCTGTAGCCCAGGCTGGCCTCGAACTCACAAAGACCCACCTTCCTCCCGAGCGCTGGGATTAAAGGCCTGTGCCACCATCGCCAGGCTGGTTTTTAGTTTTTGAGATAGGGTCAAAATGGGTATTACAGGCATGGACTGCCACACCCAGGGGAGCA